TAAATTAACTATTTGTTATTTAATGGATAATTTCAGTATGGATTTATTATTAAACCATTACAGAAGGCATGGATGCTCTACTCCCCCCTACATGTTTTTTTTTTAAGTACACTTTATTGATTATGCTATTACAGTTGTCCCATTTCTTTCTGCCCTTTAATCCCCCCTGCCCTGTACTGCCCCTCCCACCAGCATCCTCCGCCCCCTTTAGTTCGTGTCCATGGGTCACACATACAATTTCTTTGGCTTCTACATTTCCTATACTATTCTTAACCTCCCCTTGTTCATTTCGTACCTACCAATTATGTTTCTTTTTTAAAAAATATTTTATTCATTTGTTTTTAGAGAGAGAGGAAAGGAGGGAGAAAGAAAGGGAGAGAAACACCAGTGTGTGGTTGCCTCTTGCCTACCCCCAATGGGAAACCTGGCCTGCTACCCAGGCATGTGCCCTGACTGGGAATTGAACCTATGACTCTTTGGTTCTCAGGCCAGCACCCAATCCACTGAGCTATGCCAGCCAGGGTCCATTTATGTTTCTTATTTCCTGTTCCTTTCCCTCCCATTCTCCCCCCTCCCTCTCCCCACTGATAACCCTCCATGTGATCTCCATTTCTGTGATTCTGTTCCTATTTTAGGTATTTGATTAGTTTTTGTTTTTTAGGTTTAGTTGTTGATAGTTGTGAGTTTATTGTCATTTTACTGTTCATAGTTTTGATCCGTTTTTTCTCAGGTAAGTCCCTTTAATATTTCATATAATAAGGGCTTGGTGGGAGGGGTGGTGTGATGATGAACTCCTTTAACTTGACCTTATCTGGGAAGCATTTTATCTGCCCTTCCATTCTAAATGATAACTTTACTGGATAGAGTAATTTTGGAAGTTAAGTCCTTGCCTTTCATGACTCTGAATACTTCTTTCCAGCCCCTTCTTGCCTATAAGGTTTCTTCTGAGAAATCACCTGACAGTCTTATGGGAACTCCTTTGTAGGTAACTGTCTCCTTTTCTTTTGCTGCTTTTAAGATTCTCTCCTTATCTTTCATCTTTGGTAACGTAATGATGATGTGCCTTGGTGTGTGCTTCCTTGGGTTTAGTTTCTTTGGAAATCTCTGAGTTTCTTGGACTTCCTGGAAATCTATTTTCTTTGCCAAATTGGGGAAGTTCTCCTTCATTATGTTTTCAATTTCTTGCTCTTCCTCTTCTCCTTCTGGCACCCCTATGATTAGGATGTGGTAATATTTAAAGTTTTCCAAAGGTTCCTAAGCCTCTCCTCATATTTTTGAATTGTTGTTTCTTCATTCTGTTCTGGTTGGATGTTTATTTCTTCCTTCTGCTCCAAATCGTTGATCTGAGTCCTGGTTTCCTTCCCTTCACTTTTGGTTCCCTGTATATTTTCCTTTATCTCACTTGTCATAGCCTTCACTTTTTCCTCTATTGTGCGACCATACTCAACCATTTCTGTGAGCATCCTGATTACCAGTGTTTTGAACTCTGCATCTGATAAGTTGACTATCTCTTCATTGCTTAGTTCTATTTTTGGAGCTTTCATCTGTTCTTTCATTTGGGCCATATTTCTTTCTCTTGACACACCTATTACATAGTAAGGGGGAGAGCCTTAGGTATTCACCAGAACTGGGAAACCCACGTTGCTGTGTTGTAGAGCTGTATGTAGGGGAGGAGTCTGAGAGTGAACAATGCTGCTTGCTCAGCTCTCAGCGGGCTTCCAGTCACTTCCTCCGCTACCCACAAGCAAACTGGGCCCTTCTGGTGCTGATTCCTAGGTGGGTGGGTTTGTGTACATGCTAGGACCCAGTGGGTCTCTCCAATGCACTCTCCTGTGAAGCTGGGAGTTTCTCCCACCTCCCTCCCTTCACAGGTTTTTAAAGCCAGAGATTCTGAGGTTTTATTTCCCCACGCTGGAATGCTGGTTTTGGGTGGTCTGTCTCACTCCCCAGTAGTTCCTCCTGGCTTATCCACACGAGAATGTGGGACCACCCGGTCTGCCAGCTACAGCCTCGCCCAGCCCAGTCTGTCGCCTTGCCACATCCTCTCTGCCTTGGCTGCCTGTCTCCACCCCTCCTACCAGTCTGGATGAATGTTTCTTCTTTAACGCCTTGGTTGCCAGACTTCCATACAGTTCAATTTGCTGGTAGTCATGGTTTTTTGGTTTTTAAATTGGCTGTTGTCCTTTTGGTTGTGTGAGGAGGCAAAGCATGTCTACCTATGCCTCTATCTTGGCCCTCTAAATGTTTAATTAAATATCTACCATGTGATTGGAAGATTCAATACACTAAGATATCAATTCTTCCCAAAATGCTATATAGATTCTACACAATCTCAGTAAAAATTCCAGCAGGACTTTTCATAAAAATCAACAAATCAACAGGCTGATTCTAAATTTCTGAATAGAAAAATAAAGGAACTCGAATAGCTGAAAAAATTCTGAGAATAACCAAGTGGCAAATGTAATTACATGGAGAAAGGACAATTTTCTCAACAAATGTGCTCAAACTATTGGGCATCCATATGCAATTAAAAAAAATAAAAAGAATCTCCACCCATACATCATACAATGCACAATAATTAACTGGATCATAGACCTAAATGTAACACCTAAAGCTATACAGTTTCTAGGAAAACACAGGAAAAATTGTGACCTTATCCATTAACAAAAGGATAAATTAAACTTCATTAAAATTAAGAACCTCTGCTCTTCAAAAGACACTCTTCAGGGAATAAAAAGATAAATCACAGACTTGGAGAAAACTCACATAACTGAGGAAGAACTTTTGCCCAAAATATATAAAGGACACTTACAACTCAATAATTTCAAAAACCCAATTTTTAAAACTGAGCAGAAGATCTGAACAGATCTCTTTTACATATAAGGATGGTAAATAATAACATTAATACATGCTCAAAATCATTAGTCTTTATGACACTGAAAATTAAATCCACAATGAAATGCCACTATACACCCATTAGAATGGCTAAAAAGCCCTGGCTGGTGTGGCTCAGTGGACTGAGTGCCAAACTGAGAACCAAAGGGTGTCAGTTGCTGGTCAGATTACTGGCACATGCCTGGGTTGCAGGTCAAGTCCTCAGTTGGGGGCAGGTGAGAGGCAACCAATGTTTCTCTCCCTCTTTCTCCTCCCTTCCCCTCTCTCTAAAAATAAATAAATAAAATCTTTTAAAAAGTGGCTAAAAAAATTTTAAACCTGACAATATTAAGCACTGGGGAGCATATATAGCATCTGCTGATGGGAATGCAAAATGGTAAACCATTTTGGAAACTGTTTCCACAGTTTCTTATAAAGTTAGATGTATTTACCCAGGACCCAGTCATCCCACTCCTAGTGCTGACCCAAGAGTAACAACACCTATGTTAACACAAAACCTCTATGTGAATGTTTGTAATAGCTTTCTTTGTAACTGCCCCAAACTGTAAATAAAGCAAATGCCTCTCAGCTAGAGCATGGATGTGGCGTGGTGCATCCATAAAAGGAATACCACTTAGTAATGAAAAGGAGCAAGTTACTGATAGACGCAACCACATGGATGAACTACTAATGAATCCTGCTCAGTGCAAGAGGCCAGGCGCCAAGGGTTCACACTGTGTGCTCCCATTCACTGACAGTTTAGAAAGGGCGAAGTTACTGGGACAGGCATCAGAGCAGTGACTGCTGGAGTGAGGGAAGGAGCAGGAGTGAGTATGAAGGGACACAGAACTTTTTGGTGGGATTGAACTGTTCTGTACCTTGAATACGGCCACAATTGTATGACTATATTTGTCAAAATTGACAGAATTGTACATAAAAGGGTGAATTTTACTATATCTAAATAACCTTTTCAAAAAAGCTCTAAATGGAAACCAAAAAACAAAACAAAGCAAAATTTAAAAACCCATAAAGTTTCTGTATGTCAGAAGAAAAACCTTTTAAACAGGACCTTTAAAATTAAGCTAAAAAAAAAAATCTTAAACACCCTGGCTGGCGTAGCTCAGTGGATTGAGCTCGGGCTGCGAACCAAAGCATCACAGGTTCGATTCCCAGTCAGGGCACATGTGTGGGTTGCAGGCCACAGCCCCCAGCAACCGCACATTGATGTTTCTCTCTCCTTCTCTCTCCCTCCCTTCCCTCTCTAAAAATAAATAAATAAAAATCTTTAAAAAAAAATTAAGCTCCATGATGTTCTCCCAATACGCGCACATTCTCTTTGCCACCCCCACCTTCCAGAGGCCTAGCAAAGGGTACTTCAAAAAAGACCGTCACAACCCGCGCCCCCCATTCTTACCTGAACCACCAACTGTCACGATTGGAAGGAGGCACAGATAATACACTGCGAAGGACCTCGTCCCTGCAGGCTACAGAGCGGAGGAGAGGCCACAGAGTCCCCTCTGTGTAGTGAGTGGGAAGTGCCCTGCCCTTCCTGTTTGTCCTTATGAGAAGAGGTGGTCACACGTTGCCTGGCAGGGCAAACTCACCTCTGTCGTGACCGCGTTATATTGCCCGGCAGGGTCCCAGCTCCACTGCACTCACTCGTCACACAGCAAGCTGAATACGCAGCAGCAATAAAAGTAGGCCAAGGCGACAGAGCACTCTAGTTACCTGGCGGCAGCCAATCAGGGCCCCTCCCCAGAGTGCCTCACTCTGAGGTCAGGGCTCGAAGCAGAGTCTGTGCCGTCAGACTGAACCCAAAAAGGCTGACTTGTTGGGCTTGTTTTTCCACAGCATTAACTTGAGGGTTTGCGACTTGAGACCCCAAATCAATCTCTGCCACCACACTGGCAGTCTCTCCTTGCACTGTTCACACCTAACCTTTTCCTTGCTCCATGTGCAGAAATGCAGCAAGCCACTCCAACAACTGTACTGAAAATGAAAGGCTGTAATACGCCCAGCGCCCAGACTGCCACAAAAGCATCGCCCACTTCCACGCAGAACCACAAACTTTATGAATCCTTCTGGAGTTGTTCCTGCTGGGGGAGGGTTAAGGACGAGATAGGTACCTTTTGTTTTTCCATCCACTGCCGGCAGCTTCTTTGTTTCTGCTGTTAGCAACAGCTCATAGGGATGCTCATCCTCTTCCCTGGCTGCACTCCCCTGAATCCGGGCTCTCATGGCCAAGGCCTAGGACAGAAAACACCACAGACTGTTCATGCAGGTGGCTACAACCAAAACAGGTTACGCTGAAGAAATTTGGGGTTATTGGTTCCTTTTTCAACAGAGGGAAAGAGAAGGTAAATGATTCCTAGTGTACTATGAGATCCCAACTACTTTTGTGGATATGTACTTGAACCTCAAATTGAATGGCCTTTGCTTAAAACACTACCCTCCCTTTCCTGCCCTGGCTGGTGTGGCTCAGTGGGTTGTGCACCAGCCCATAAACCGAGAGGTCAACGGTTTGATTCCCAGCCAGGGCACATGCCTGGGTTGTGGGCCAGGTCCCTGGTTGGTGGTGCGTGAGAGGCAACCTATCAGTGTTTCCCTCGCATACTGGTGTTTCTCTCCCTCTCTTTCTCCTTCCCTCTCTTCCCCTCTCTTTAAAAAATAATTTTTTAAAAAAACCTTTAAAAAATAAATCAAACACTACCCTTTCCTTACCTCACCTCATTTTATCTTTCAAAAGCCATGAATAAAATTCAAGATTCTCCCTCCCCTTGTCTCTCCCGTCTCCACCATGTCCTGCAGGACCTCCCCTCTGTGAAGAGCACTTTCAGAGCAGTGCATCAAGACCTCCTTTCTCCACGTTTCTTTCCTAACATGCACAGAGTCACCCAAAGGCTGGAATCCTTCCCACCTTCTGCAGCGGGAATCAACGTGACTTCTCTGTGAGTCTTTCTTCACAGGTCCTGGGGGTTCTAAGAAGAATTCCCCCAAAGCCGGCTTCCTACCAATTATGATAACACAATTTTAAATTAATTCCACTCATCTTTATTCTGAAAACAGTTGAGTGGCTAGGCAGTGTTTACTTCAGTGGAGAAAAAACAGCTCTGTTTGCTGAGAGGTCCAGGCAGCCAAGTGTCTCTGGCGCAGGAACTGGACTAGAGCTGGTCCTGCACCTGCCAACCGATCCAAGCAGATGAGGGCCCAGTGGCCAGCTAGCCATGGTGCCAGAGTAGCCAAGCTCAAACCAAGCCAGGCACACCAGGGCTGCTGTTACAGCTGCCTCGAGAGAGAGAGAATGGAGACTCTGGCTTCTGAGGGTAATTCCAGCTCACCTGTCCTAAGAATCCAACAGTTTCACAGACAAATTAACAATCATCATACACCAGCTATTAGGAGAGCAACCCAAAGCACAGTCTCTTCTCTAGGACAGGTGATATATACAAACAACGGGAGAGGGGATTTCCCAATCCACCTCACAAATAACAGTTCCTTACAAATGGGGTTCTTGGGCACACACAGAAACCTCCACCTTCACCGGCATGTCCCCTAGCTCACTGGAGACGAACAGGGTTTGTGCTTCTCACAGCTTTGCTTCTTGGAGACACAGCGCGTGTTGCGTGTTACGACTAAAGAGACAGACACAGCAAGGATTCCCGCAGCCTCAGATGCAATGAGCCTGCTGCTCCTGTTTGTTAACAAGGCTGCCACTCTAAAGGCAGAATGGGAGTCTCTTTCCAAAATTCTGTGAAGCACAGCAGGAACCTCCACTTACTGAAAGCCACCTGGAAGCTAAAAGCTACTACATTACAATGAGCCATTTGCCTGTATTTATTATTCCTTTGCTTCTTCACAGGAATACAATTAAGGGAACAAAGAAGGGACATTAAACAGTTCATTCAGTGTCAACTTAATACCAGAGGCTTTACAGACAGGAGTGCATGTCCTGCAGGTTTACACACCCCTAGCCAGCACTTAGGCAGCGCAGCGCCCTGGGAGCCTGATTCCGTGAGTAACCCCCCGCCCCCGCCCCCCGCCCCCCGCCCCCCCCCCACCCCACACACACAGCGAGGGCGCTCTCAGAGCCCCCGGCACACCTCTGAGAGGGATCTGACTGCCTGGATGCTAGGCTGATGACAGCCTTCCTTCCCTAGCAGGCCAGGCCCACAGGTCTGCTTTCACTCCCTGCCTGGCTTTGTGCACAACTAGTGGGAGCAGAGAACCAGTCAATGTCAGAGCTGGAAGGGACCAGAACCGTCAGCCACTGCTTGAGGGCACCTGGTTCCAGCTCCTTCATTGTGCAGACACAAAACCCGGGCCCAGAGAGGTCTAGGGACTTGCCCAAGGTTATGCAGAGAGCTCCCAGGAGAGCCAGGGCCACATAATTCACTTCCTCTGGTTCTGGACAAGCCGGCCTCACTTTTTCCTGGGAGGCATGATTTCTCCATCCAATTGGGAACTGCTTCCCTCCTTCAGAGAAGTTTGAGAGTCTCCTGCTCCTACCCAGACAACTCGTGGGGTGATATTTTTCTGCTTTGTCCTGGCCCCTGCCAGCTATGAGATAAAAATCTCACACTAAAGCAATAAGCTGCTTTCTTCAACCTTCCTAGCTCCCACTCAAGAAGCCCTGTGTCACAGTGAATATGGCAGTAACTGATTTTCAACTGAAGGAATCCTGCTCTTTACTAAATTAAAACTTAATCTTTTCCCTCCTTCCAGGGCTGGCAATAAATCAAAGTCATCCCTCCCCCTCCCCCCTGCACATGTTCTCTGCTATATCGAAAGCAACATTTTTGCTGTAGAGAAAAGCTACTACCACCAAACCCTGACCAATGGAATGGCTGGTTGGGGTGGGCAGCTTCCTGGGAAGAGATACCACAGCAGCTGCAGTTTGCCAAAAACACTCAGCACCTCTGCCTGCAGGAAGCGCAAGGTTAGCTGGTACAGCTGGCAGCTCGTCTACACAGTGTGTGTGCATGGGTGTGTGTCTGAACGACCAGTTTCACGATCTGCTCATTGCTCTGAGGAGCTCTCCTGGAGTCAGGTATATGCAGGTTCCCTTAAAGGCCACCGGGGCCATCTGGCAATGACAAACCTCAGGAATAGGACACGATCATTAGGAAACACTGCTGCCAAATCACAAGTCTAAACTTTAATGAAATCACTGCCTCCAAGGAGATGACGTTTAGGGTAGTAAAGTTTTGAGAGTATGAGAAATAAAGGTGGTGCCCTGGCTGGTGTGGCTCCATGGATTGAGGGTCAGCCTGCAGACCTTTGGCCTGTGAACTGAAAGGCCACCAGTTCGGTTCCCGGTCAGGGCACATGTCTGGGTTGCAGGCCAGGTCCCCCCCAATGGGGGTGTGCGAGAGGCACGCACACATCGATGTTTCTCCCACACGTTGATGAGTTTCTCCTTATCTTTCTCCCTCCCCTTCCCCTCTCTCTAAAAATAAAAATAAATAAAATCTTTAAAAAAAAGATAAAGATGGTGAAGACTACAGTAAAACAAAATAAGTCTACTTTTGTAGAAGACCTATCCATTGAGACCACAGCAAACGGAATCTGCCTTCACCATTAAAAGGTTACTGGTGCGGACCCCAGCACCGCACTACATTCAGGCACGTACGACCATTACTAAGTAAGCAATGCTGGGGTTCACAGAGTCTTCCACGTACTGACTCTGGTGGTTCAGCCGACCCAGAATTCCAGACTACTGCAAAGCAAGCCCTAGACTGGAGTCTCCCATCCAGAGTAATGTGGAAATGTCTCCCTACCTCTTGACACTGCATTATTGCCAAACTGTTTGCTTTAGAAAGTCTTGCAAAAACAGAAAGTCTTGATTATTCGATACCTCCCTAAGAGCCTTGCCCTTATCCTTGGGCACCGGGAACTTTAGTCCATGACCTTGTTAAAAAGGTGGCAACGACAGTTGCAGTAGAGTCCAGACGGCACCTGAGAAAAGAGCAGAGCAACTGTGTCTTTCCCTCAGGCATGGCCTCGGCCAGAGGGAGTACAACCACTTCATGGGGAAAGCAGCCTCAGGGCCACTTCAGACAAGTCGGACCCAAGAGACATCAGGAAATGGCAGAAATTTAAAAGTTTTCAGACAGTCTCCAAGATGGTGGCCTAGGTAAACACAGCTCACCTCCTTGCACAACCACATCAAAATTACAATTAAACTATAGAAAAACCATCACTCATAACTGGCAGATACTGAACTGAAGAGAGGTCCTGCAACACTGGAACCAAAGAAGAAACCACACCCACCCAGACTGGTAAGAGGAGAGGAGACATGGAGATGCAGAACGGGCTGGTCCCACACCCATGCATGGTGGAGAAGATCAGGAGGGGTCTCTCAGGAGCGAGGGGTCCTAGCTCCACACCAGGCCCCCCTGGAGTTCCAGTGCCGGGAAGATAAGTCTCTGAGGCTTCTGGCTGTAAAAACCAGTAGGGACTGAGTTGGTGGGAGAAACTGCTGGATTCTCAGGCAGTTCATCTTAAAGGACCTGCACAGACTTACTCAGACTCACTTCCACTGAGCTCCAGCACTGAAGCAGCAGCTTGAAAGGAGTCAGTTGCATACAGGGAGGAGTGAAATGCCTGGCATCAGTGTGAGAGCTGGGGGACAGCTTTCTCCAAGCCAGAGCTGCTGGCAGAGGCCATTGCTCCTCTTCTCAGCCTGCCCACACAGAAGCACAGAGTTGGATAGCATTACTTCCTGAGACTCCTCCAACCTGGTTCACACTGTTGCCCAGGTGACTCCTTGAGACTCTGTCCCACCCAACTTACCAGCCCATCCCAGTGGTTAACAGTAGCTTTTCCATAGGAATGACTTCTCTTGGCTCATGCTCGTAATCTTCCTAAATCATCTCAAACAAGCAGCAGCTGGCTTCAGCAAGCCCCCATACCTTGATAGGTTGCCCCAGGCCCAACACTAGCAGCTGCTGGCCTTGGTTCACAGCCTGGCCTCGCTAGGGAACCTCCAAGTCCAGCACAAGAAGCAGTCAGCTGCAGATCGCTTTACAGCTTATGCCAAGTGACCCAAGACAGAACACAACCAGGCACCACGGCCCTGCTGAAGTAAGCCCAGCTCTGTGGAGTGGGCCCCTGTAGAGTTGATCCTCTGATCCTCCTCCAAGGGGAGAGGATGATGGTCAGTGGTCACAGCCAGTCCTTGTAGCTGACTGGCCTGGGTAAATTCCTCCCATTGACCTGCCAACAATAATTAAGGATCAACTATAAGAGGAGGGTATACTCAGCCCACACAGAGAACAGGCTTCGAGTACCCAGCTTGGGTGGTAGGGGAGGCTGTGCCACTGGACCCTACAGGACACCTACTACATTGGGCCATGCTACCAAGTCAGAGTCAAAGCAGCTCTACCTAATACACAGAAACACACACCGGGAGGCTGCCAAAATGAGGAGACAAAGAAACATGGGCCCAAATGAAAGAGCAGAACAAAACCCCAGTAAAGGAACTAAGCAAAATGGAGATACGCAATCTTTCAAATGCAGAGTTCAAAACACTGGTTATAAAGATGTTCAAGGAAATTAGTGAGGACCTCAACAGCATAAAAAGATCCAGTAAAAAATGAAGGATACGCTAACTGAAATGAACAACACTACAGGGAAACAACACTAGAGTGGATGAAGCTGAGAATAAAATCCATGACTTGGAACATAAGGAAGCAAAAAACAACCAATTGGAATAGCAAGAAGAAAAAAGAATCCCCCCAAAATGAGGAGAGTGTAAGAAGCCTCTGGGACAACTTTTATCGTTCCACCATTTGCATCATAGGGGTGCCAGAAGGAGAAGAGAAATAACAAGAAATTGGAAATCTATTTGAAAAAATAATAAAAGAAAACTTCCCTAATTTGGTGAAGAAAATACACATTAAGTCCAGGAAGCACAGAGAGTCCCAAACAAGATGGACCCAAAGAGGCCCACTCCAAGACACATCATAATTAAAATGCCAAAGGTTAAAAAGATAAAGAGAGAACCTTGAAAGCAGCAAGAGAAAAGTTAGTTACCTACAAAGGAGTTCCCATAAGACTGTCAGCTGATTTCGCTAAACAAACTTTGCAGGCTAGAAGAGATTGGCAAGACATATTCAAAGTCATGAAAGGCAAGGACCTACAACCAAGACTGTTCCACCCAGCAAAGCTACCATTTAAAATGGAAGGGCAGATAAAGTGCTTCCCAGACAAGGAAACACTAAAGGAGTTCATCACCACCAAACTATTACTATATGAAATGTTAAAGGGACTTAAGAAAAAAAAAAGATCAAAACTATGGGCAATAAAAGGGCAGTAAATATATATCCATCAACAACTGAAGCTAAGTAACAAACTAAGCAAACAAGCAGAACAGAAACAGAATCATAGATACAGAGAACGGTTTGATGGCTGCCTGATGGGAGGGAGGACTGGGGGAATAGGTGAAAAGATAAAGGGTTTAAGAAGCACAAATCAGTTGTTACAGAATAGACCTGGTGATGTCAAGTACAGTGTAGGACATGGAGGAACCCAAGAACTTGTACACGTGACCTGTAAACATGAAGAAAGGTGTGGGCATTGTCTGAGGCGGTGGGGGTGCTGGGTGGGAGGGGAGGGAGAAAATTAATAAAATGTAATTTTTTTAAAAGAAATTAAAGAAAAAGACAGTTACAGAGACTCAGCCCCAACAGAATACGTTCCATGTTACCAGCGTTCTCCTTGTAAAAGGGAGTAATGAAGTGAACCTCTACATAAAAACATTAGGGATTTACTACATGTACTTGTATCTGCTCCAATGTATTATCACCCTGGAGGCTGTAACTAGACAGACCACTTAGTTGAGACATGATAAGCATTTTGTAATTAAGGTATAGAAAGAAGTAAGGACAGAATTTGTATATAGCACAGAAATTGTCTCCTATCTCCAACAATGTCTCCATTTTTAAATGGCTTCCTTGTATTTAAACATTTCATGAAACTAAAGCCATCCTTCTGGTTCTATATGTTTATATTTTACTTATTTAGTCATTTTTTAGAGAGTGGGGAAGGGAGGGAGAGACACATCAATGTGTGGCTGCCTGTCATGCACCGCACCCCCCCACCTGGCCTGCAACCCAGGTACGTGCACTGACCGGGAATCAAACTGGTGACCTTTCCATTCACAGGCTGGTGCTCAACCCATTCAGCCACACCAGCCAGAGCACAATGACCAGGTGATTCTCTAGATTTTATATCGAAAGGTAACACAGGTGCAAAAGCACAAGTGAGCCAGGTGAGCCCACTGGAGCAGGAGAAAATGTGTGGGCTTCACCTGGTCGCGGCACTGCTCATGGCAAGGCGGAGCAACGACTGGCCCATCGGTCAGAGAGCCACCCAGATTCTCTGCCTCGTACTTCTGAGTGAGTTTGACAGGTCTTGTTCCAGATTACTAATATACACAATATAAACTCAGTAATCCAAAGAGGTGGTAAGAAACGAGAAAGCAAAGTCTTCTTCAAGCACACAGCGACACACTTTCGAACAAATTGTGTTTCAGTGAGGGGAATAAACCCCTAACCCTTTACCTCAGAAGCTGCCAGGGGGAAATGCTTCTTATCTTTGAGGTCTTCCTCCTCCTCGTCCGGCGGGGGCTTTGCTGGAGGCGGTGGGCGTTCCCTCTGCAGGGAGAAAAAGTCGTATTTAACTCACTCTTTTTTTAAGTATCTAACTTTTTTGTTTACTTTTAAAAAAATATATTTTATTTATTTTTCTTAGAGGGGAAGAGGGGGAGAAAGAGAGGGAGAGAAACGATGTGTGAGAGAAACATGTTGCCTCTTGCACACCGCCAACCAGGGACCTGGCCCACTCCCCAGACATGTGCCCTGACTGGGAATCGAACCAGCAGGCCGCTACTCAACCCATTCAGCCACACCAGCCAGGGCAGGTTTACTCTTATCTTAACCCTTGGAAATGAAAAAGATTAATGTAAAGCACTTCCCAGAGACCGAACTCAAGGTTTCATGTCTGTACAGAGAGAGAACCCTGCGCATGAGCACACTTCAGTTAACATGCTCTTTGCTTTTTGATGTTCATAGCAGAGAATATAAACATCTCTTTCCTATCCTTGACCGCAGTGAGGAAAATCAGCACTGAAAACACTGAACTGCCCTGTGAGAACATGTCCGTCCTATACTGATCCATATGAACTCCATGTAAATCAATCAATCTGTGGCTGGGCTACCAGTCCACTCTAAAAGGAAACGGCAAGTCCAAGGAGTCAACTTGTCAGGGCTCGAACAAACCAAAGGCATTAAGGAAGTAAAGAGGAAAGCAACCCGGAACCAAAACATCCATTCCTGCTCACACTCGGGTGCTGTTCCCGTTTATCAGCAAAAGCTCAGATGGGTTTTTGGTACTCGGTCACCTCCTTCAACGGTTACTATTATGCATCATTAGCATTTGAAAACCCTATTTCATCCAGCCTATTTTTTAAAATAGTATTTTTCAGTTCTCGGCCTGAGAGAAGGGTTGGCAAGCTTTTTCTGAAAGGGCCATAAAGTAAGCATTTTAGGCTTTGCAGTCAACTTGCCACTGTGGTACAAGGCAGCCATAGAAAATATGTGAGCGGGGCTGTGTTCCAGTAAAACTTTATTTGCAACAAGAAACAGCTATTTGAGGTCTTAGTTTGCCCTGGAACAAGACACTCGTTGCAGAGGAATTAGTTAGATCACGGGCAGACAATTTCAGGAATATACAGAATGGTCTTTGGTGGAAGAAAGCTAAAGAGCGGTCTGCCTCTGTACCTGCAGGACTGCCAACACTGTTTCTGTTCCAGAGCTTGGTGATGAGTGTTCCTCCTGGGTAGGCAGTGGGACCTGAGAGAGGAGCTGGCTGCTGGTGCACCCCCTGGCCTGCAGGTTAGTTCACTGGGAGAACAGGAGCATTTAAGTCAGGGCAGAGGTGAATGCTGACTTATGTGAGAGCTTCAGGGAAATCTGCAGGGAAACATGGTTCTCGTGTACCTGGAGCCGCCAGAGTTAGCCAGCATTTGGCATCTGTGATCTCTATCAAAACTTGTTTCATAGATTGAGTACTAGCCTACGAACCAAAGGGTCACTGGTTTGATTCCCAGTCAGGGCACATGCCTGGGTTGTGGGCCAGGTCCCCAGTAGAGGATGCACGAGAAGCAACCACACACTGATGTTTCTCTCCCTCTCTTTCTCCCTCCCTTCCCTCTCTAAAATTAAATAAATGAATCTTAAAAAAAAACAAAACGTGCTTCACTGCTTGATATTTTATCTTGGTAAGTCGGTTATTCCCATGGTCCCTGGATCCAGATGGACACCCACGGGCAACAACTTCAACACAGGTTCATACATTCAAGCCAAACAAAGCAATTTATATGAGATTCCCACGAAGTCCCACTTCCTCACCCTTCCTTGCTCCAGAGGTGCCACCTTGTAAGGAAGGGATACAAAAGCAGCAGGCCCATAATCTATAACAGTTACCCAACCTTGGGACACAAATAGCTGAGGAAAAGTAAAATGAAACGCAACAACAAAGGACCCATCCTAGGCTTTGCAACCTACAGGAGCCTAGAAAGAACAGTATGAAAGCCTCTTGAGGGAGCAATCACCAGAGACACTGGCAGGAAAGAGAAGCATGATCATCTAACGCCCAAGCTTTGGCCTGGGCCCTAGAAGTACTGCGCTGATTTGTACACACCTTCCATTCTGTTGATTAGATGTAGAACAGTTCCACAGCCATAGTTCATAACCAAGGGTCAGGAAGGTGCCAGGGCCGTAACAGACTCAAATGAAAATGGCAAAGCATGCACCCTAAATGCATTAGTCTCTACTCAGAAGGACTACAGGAGGCTGGCTCTTCAGAGCAGGATGGAACAAAGAGATTGTAAATCAAAGGCCAAGCCCCACAGGAACTCGGTTACACAGGGCTTCCTTCAGTAGCACTGTACTCTTCTTGCAAAGCCTCCAGCTCCCTCTAATGGGCATCACCTGTAAGTACCACTTTAAGCAGTCTTCCTCCACAGGTGGATTTGCTAATTCATTTGTTCTTAACAGTGAAAAATTGAAAACAAACAAACAAACAAAGAAACACCTCTAGCTCTGTCTACAGAGCTACTATGCTGGTGGTGCTCAGCACAGGCACCGGCCTTTGCCACTCACAAGCTTTACCGGTCCCTGATCACACCCTCTCTGTGGGCTCCCACAGACTGGCCGGCCTTTCCAAAACCCACACTAAAATGCAGGTCTGTTCCAGGGCAGGGCGAAGAGCCTGACACAAAAGAACACCAAGAAACATCAGGCCACTCCCAGGGCACACCTGAGAAGCCCAAGCATCACCTAGTAGCCAAAGGCCTGTGAAAATGGTCATAAGCCAGATTCAGACCACAAGGGAAAAGCCAGCCTCTCCAACAGGAAGAAATAATATACAGATGAAAATATGCCTCAAGGTGGGATTAGCACTGGGATCCTGTTAAAGTAAGGGCCAGTGTAGTAAAAGCCCAGGGCTCAAAATCTCAAATTACTGTGTCTGCCAATGCAGGAAGGAAGGTTGCAGGAACACTGGGTCAGGCTTAGGTTCACAGTAAAACCCCAGGAAGAAAATGGGGTAAGAAGGCTGGAGAACAATGCATGAGGCCAGAAGTAAAAGCAAACAGCAGACAAAGAAGCAGTAAGACAGGAAGGTGGCCTTGAGAAGGAAAAATTCAGAGCTGCCCTCATCTTACTATTTCAACCGCTGGAGGGGTTGTAACTGGGGAAAAATAGAAATGCCCCATACTAAGACATGCGATGTCTAACTAAACCTTGCCACAACCCTGAGGAATATAGAAATCTGTCCAAATCCACATGGATAATTCTTTGAGGGCAAATGGAAGGTGAGCATGTGCTCAGAGGTGGACAGGAACTTATCTCGGAAGCCCTTCCTCCATCAGAGCTGCTTTCCAGAAAGAAAACAAGCTATGCAGCACAGGTCCCAAACACAGAAGCAGCTTATGGCTAAAAAATAAAATGCCTCAATTTGCTCTAAGACCAAAGAGTAATAAAAAGATGCAAATGGATTATATTGAAATTGGAATAACCAAAATTCTCCCTCAGTATGGCCTGTGCAGATAAGGGCATACTAAGGAAGACGGAGCCGTGGCAGAGCCCCAGGAAAGGGAGTAGGGCCGGGCCTCTGACGTGTGAGCCAGCACGAGGGCTCACACCCTCCGCCCAGCACCTCCAAATGCCCGGGGGACAACAGGAGCTCCAGGCTGCTGAGGGCCCCGGGCCACCTACAGGTCTCACTCCAGCAACTTTCACTGCTGCGGCATCAGCCTCCTTGCTGCCGGAGTCCCGGTCTGATGATCGCCCACTGGCCACGCTGTCCAATGAGTGGCAGGAGACGGCATTGCACAGTGCCTCGTAGGGACCCTCCTCTTCAGTGCTTGCGTCAAAATCGATGATCAACTCAGTCACTGCCTTCTCCACGTCACCTGAAGAGGAGGCTGAAGGGCAAGACAGTCAATGAAAGAGCACAGTCTCGGATTCCCAGCCTCTGCGACAGCCCGGAACCTGCTCAGTAACCCGAACTAACAGACACTAACCCAGGGCAGAAAAATGAAAGACTGCTTTGATCCACAAACAGGAGTAAATAGTGTCTCAGCTGCTCTTACACCCTGAGAAGTGAACCAATTTTTCTCTAACTCAGAATAGAGAGCCCTTGACATCTGAGGGGTGCCTCCAAAGACCTTCAAAATGCCCAAATACCTTGATACCATAACATACACCAAAATGCACCAAAGTGTAACTAAAACAACTTAAGTAATCCTTGAAATTCTTAGGAAGCACCTGCACGTGCTCGAGGATGGCAAGCCTTTCTGAGATGGCGGCGTGTGCCCCTGTCAGCCTCCCGCACTGGGTAACAGAACCTCGGGGCCTGGGACCCACACCTGTGACCAACAGTTGTGGACCAGGAATCTCTGGGTCACTTGCAAGGAGTCAAAACTGGAACTGTAACACCCTGGAACGCTAGGAGCTTAGTGAACTACTAATCCCATTACTAGTAGATGAGGCTTAGTAGATTTACCCTGAGACTTCTGGGGTATGGAGTCCGCACTGGGAATGACAGACGGCTGGGCTGTGGGCGTTTTATCTAGCTCTTTCACAGTTCTTTTTCCAGTCATGTGATCTATGTGGAACGACAAAAAAAAACAAAAAAAAACCCTGCACCAAATACAAATGCCTTCTGGCCAGTGTGCCCTCTGCTCCCCCAAAAGGGAGGTGGACTGTACCTTCAATTAGTGCTGCTATCTGCTGGCTCTTCTGAGAAGGCAGCTCCCGCACCGTGTCTAGGGCAGTCAGTCCACGGTTATCTTTTATGTTGACGTCAATTCCTAGAAAGGTAACCAGGTGGACCGGTGGAGTGAGCATTTTCAAGTCAGCCTCCAAGAGGGTCCAATTCCAGGACGCCTAATACTCCTAGCAGCACGCCCGACATTTTTCATCCAAAGCCATTTAATCCGGCTATTCAGGAACAGTTTGCACCCTTGCAATCAATCCGTGGAGACATACATACATGGGGGTCAAAGGCAGCCAGCAAAACTCCCCCTCTGGGGAGGCCAGGGGAAACAGTCCCCACCCTGCATGCTGTGCAGACAAGAGCGCTGCCAACCTCTCACCTGCAGCCAGCAGGATTTGCACCACATCGGTCTTGCCAAACAAAGCAGCCTCATGCAAAGCACTGCCCTTCTCCGTCTGGAAAGCAAACGAGAGCGCAGAGCAGGATGTCATCAGAACAGTGACCCAGGTCTGGCGTGGCCACGCACGACAAACGGGACAAAGACCAGAAGGGACAGGAAAATAAAATACGCCACACAAAGTCCTCTGTCATTATCTTTCCCATTTTTCTTGTCTGGATTCCAAAACTATAATCATGGACTGTCCATCCAGGGCGCCCGGTGAGCCACCAGCATGCCACACACGACCAACTGCCCAGTTACCCTCGGAGCCACCTATGGGTAATACTCCTCAGAACTCCACCTGCCTGGGCGGAAGGAATAATGAGAAGTGCAGGGGAAAACACACCTCCACTTCAAGTGTGGTGTGGTTGATGTGAAGCCTAAGGAACGGTCATTCAACTGAACACAGAAGGCGCACGACCAAAGGAAACGCTAAATCTCCAGTCGGCAAATGCAGTCGATGGGGCGTTGGAGATGCTAGTGGTGGCAGTGAGAACACAAGCATAGGAAGATAATGAAATTTTTCTAGTTTCAAGAGCGTGTCCAAAATCACATCTTTTCAGGGTATAATGACTATATATTACCCCTGAAAAGAAACAAAAATTAACAGACTCACTAGGGGAGTTTATTTGTCTCTAAAGCTTCACAGTAAAATGAGTCAACAAATGGAAGCATCTGACATGGGATAGAAACGTGCTCAGTAAGGCAGCCCAAGAGCATGGTATTGTGGCTTATCCGAAACGACTAGGTCCCTTGGCCTGGGAGGTCTACGGCCCGGTACCTGGTAGTTGCTGTCCATGCCAGCCTCCAGGAGCACCTGGACCACAGCTCTGTGGCCGTTCCTGGCTGCCAGGTGCAGAGGGGTGTGCTTCTTAGTGTTGCAGCTCAAGAGGTTGGGGTGTGCGTTGAGGAGCATCTTCACCACCTCCAGTCTCCCGTACAGTGCAGCCAGGTCCAGGGGCGTCTCGAATTTGTTGTTGCGCATCGTGGGGTCTGTCAGTTCCTCCAGGAGGACCTTCACCACCTCCGTGTGGCCATACTGTGCTGCGCAATGCAGGGCCGTCTCATTGTCATTGTTCTAAAGAGTTATGAGCAGATCAATCAGAAAGGTGACTGGCAGACTGGCATACAGCTGAGACAATCACACATAAAACCACTGAAATTTAAATGAGAAAAATAGCAGCAATACTTGAGGACTAAGAGAAGTGAGTCAGAATCCAGGCTCACTCCCCGGGGAACAAGTCCGACTGCTCCGACCAGCGGCCTCGTGCTCCAGTTCCTGCAAGAGGGGAGCAGCCACCAAGCTTTCGCAGTCTCCTCTGCTGTGAGGAGGTGACTCCTGGTGGCCCAGAGAGCGAGCTAGGGAATGTGGCAGGCCTTGGGTAGAAGCCCTGGCACAGACAAATGCCAGTAATATCACTGCCATTGATTCATTTTAAACTTCAACTGGTTTTACAATTTATATTTCATTGACCCTGCGGTTCTGATTCTGGATTTGTTGACCACCCATTGCCTCACACATAAGCTTTTTTGAAGAGTTTGTCATCTGCTTAGCTTTCTGCATGCAAATCAATCAGCCAATGATGGTAACACAGCAGAGCACCAAAAATCACTCTCAAGATATCAGCCAGCAGCCATTTCCAGGGAAGGGAGGCCCTCGTGGTCAGTCACAGAGGAACAGGGGACCCGGCACTGGCCGACGCCTGCTCCAGGAGCCTGCACCAGTCAGTGCATGCATAATCTACGGCACAGGGAAGTGTTTCTTACATGAGAAAGATTCAGGCAGACACTGCAAAGTTTTGTGTGAAAGGTGCAAAATATTCAAAATTGTAACACTGCAATCAATTCAAACTGACAACCCAATGGTCCCGGATTGCCAATTCTGCTTCAAACTAAAGTAGAACATGGGATAAAATCTGTGCTTTTTCAACCATCAGAAGCAAACTATTCCAATGATGCTCTTTCTTTTACTACTACTGACAATTTACAATTAGAGCAGGAATAAAGTGATTTCCATGCTCCTTTCTTTTTTAGAAGCACTAATGAAAATGATTTTCCCGTGAGATTTTGAGATTCCTGTATTCACACCCAGGAGGCTTCTTCAGGGAAACAAGGCTGATGAGGAAGGCTGTTCATCAAGTCATATTATGCACCTTTCAGTGGTCAAAAGGTAAAAATTAGGTGTTTTCACAACTGCTTTATTCGATTAATGATGTCAGAAGGAACGTGCATGCGATCCCGCCTGCTCTGAGCTGGCATCTGACTGCATCAATTTTTCCAGCTGCACTGAGAAAGATCCAGAGCTGCTGAGAGCAAGGACCCTAAAGGCCAGAATGATAGTGAAGAAAATGTTAAAAATGAAGTTAAGGACAAAAAGGGTGGTAGTAGGAGCTCATGCAGGATAAATGCACACAGATTAACAGAGGACATGGCACGGAGCTCAGACAGGGCACAGGAGAGCGGCAGCTGAGAGCGCACACAGCCTCCACCGGCCACGGACGCAGAGAGTCAGTGACGCCTCCCCCACAGGGGCAACTTCATGGCAACCTAAGTATGGAGGGAAGGGGAAATGCTGGGCTATGCATGAAGCAAATCCGTGGGTTTCCGTGGGTTTTCCCTGAGCCAAGCCCACTTGGAAGGCCCAAATGCTATGGAGCCATGGCAGCAGTTCCCGAGCCAACCGAGAAGCCACTGTACTTTCTCAGGAGGACAGGACGGCTACATCAACTACACTCACAGCGGCTTCCTGCAGGTGATCCTGGGGCCAGGGGCAGCCCATGACGTTTAAGAAGATTAGCAGGGTTTTACATTTCCAGATTAGCATGACAGCAAGAGCCAAGAAGGTCATCTTATTCTTATTACAACTCCACCCCAGAAAACCTTGTGTAGGCTGAAGCGGATGCTGTTGTCTCTTTCAGATGTTGTCTCCCAACCACCAAAATAACCTGTCCTTGATCTTGTTAAAAGTATACCATGAGGGCCTGAACAACTGTAAAACTCTAAACTATCCAGAATAAAAATAGTCTTCCTTATTTGTTTGCTTTTGTCAGAACTAAGACAGCTGCCACAGAGCTGCCTGCCAGGCGAATTTCCCGCCTCTGCTAAAAATGGCCTAATTAGGCGGCTTGTCTTTCTTCCCTCTCAGACATGCATGTCCTAAACGGTCAGGGTCTTCATGAGACTTCCAATCAGGGAGCAGGAGACAGCGGCAGTGCAATGCAGGCTACCTGCCTGAGCCTGTCTACAGGGCCCCCTCTTCTCTGACTGTTCAGTGAGCTGACAGCAGGGCGCCCCCTTAGGCTCACTTCTGTCACTGCGACCTTCACTCTCCCAGGAGGCAGCAGCAGCCCCGCCTTGGCTCCTCCTTTCCTAAGGAGCAAGGCAGAGAGCACAGGAAGAGGCTCTCTCCTGTTGCTTTCTACCCTAAGCCCTTCCTTGTTTCACGGTCACCAGTTTAATAAACATACTCTCAAAAAAATTTTTTTAAAAAGGCCTAACCACATCTCTGCAGAATGTCATGCTCATATCCACAGTATTGGAAGCATCTTACTTCTGTTTCAGTCTTGCCAGACATGGTCTGTTAACTGTGACAATCTTGACTTTATGTCTGTGCTGACCACATCTCTTGATGATTAAACACAGGCCATCACGATGAGCTCTTACTGTTTCTCCTGTGAGCCTGACAACCAGCAGGGCAGGAAGTCACCAAACATGGATTCACGGACCCTCAGGCAAGGGAGAGACCCTGAGGAGCACAGAGACTTCTAACCACCTGGAACCCTTCTCCTCCATACCTCCCACGTTACAGCGCAGGTGCTCAAGGCACCTCAAGAGTCCCCGGAATCATACTACTATGGATCTGGACCGAGGAAGGGGACTGAAATGAAACACTCCACTTTTCCCCAAAGTCTCTGCACACACTCTCCATTCCTGGCCACCTTGAGACCCCTTTCATTCTTCCTTGCTATGGTCAGTACCTCTAAGACAAAGTACTCCACGTATTTTGTCTGGAGACCTCATTCGATGTGTGAATCCATTATATTTATGCTTTTACACACACACACACACACACACACACACACACACACACAGTACAAGCAGTAGAAAACTATATAGAAACATTTCCACAGCTTTTCTCTTCTAGGAACTATTCAAAACCATCAGCTCCCCGGGCTGAGATGACAGCCCAACTGCACTCTTGTTGGCTGCTGACAGATACCTACGTGAGGGACCCTTGGGCTACAGCTCTCTTTAGCAACAAGAGTACAGGCTCGAAAATACACCAAAACTGGAACAAAAGGACAAACTGGGTCTGCTAGGATTCAGAGGATAAGGAAGAGGCATGCTGACAGCGTCCGCCAGCGGGAAGAAGTCAGACTTACTCACAATGCTCTGGGAGGCAGAACGCGGACAAACAGGAGGAAGCTCTAGGGAGACAGATGTCAAGCAAGCACAAGAAACCAAAAGTCAATGGAACCCCGAAAGAGGCTGCCAAGCAGCAACTCTGCTTGTTACTAGGAGAAACCAATAAACAAATGGAGTAACAGGTAGATGGCCCACCTTTTTGGTGAGAGAAAAAGATTCCTGCTCTGGGTGGAAAGTTAGCTTGGATCAGTAGTTCTCAAACTGGCTGCATTTTGGAATTACATGTGAACCTAAAAGTAGTCAATACTAAGTCCCACCCCAGATTTGCTAAGGTAGCACCTCAGAGGGTAAAGCACAGTTAAGCTATTATGATAAAGGTTACAATTGAGAGAGAGAGGAAAGGGAAGGGGATGGGAGAGAAAGGAAAGGAGAGGGGAGGGGAGGGGAGGAGGAAGGAAGGAAGAAAGAACATCCTCAAGGAGATCAGGTATGGCTATAATAAAAAAATAACAACATAAAATAAATTTAAAAATAAAAAGCTTACCAACCCAGTGGGCACCAGCTCAACCAAGCATCATCCACCACCATCAAAAGGGACACAAACTGACTTCATACACCTTGTGATGTGATACTGTGATACTGGACACTGAAAAGGAGGGAATCACTCCGGTGGCCTTGCTGCCCGAAACGTACAACCTGAACTGAGGAAATGCCAACAGACTCAAACTGTCGGACGGCCAACAAAACAGGTCTATGCTCTTCAAGCTCTAAGAGTAAACTATCTTTAAGTGTATAGAAAAACATATCTACCCCTAAGACTAATTTGACTATTGCTCATCTTATGATATTCAGACTAAGTTAAAACTACTGTCAAAGGGAAAACCATTTCAATGGCCCCATTGTAGCTGAGGATGACTCGCACTTGGACGGGTTAAGCTGCCTGTGGCCGGGAAAGACTCCGTGCGTGGAGGGGAAAATGAAAGCTCATGAAATGGCCCCTGCTCCCTGGAAAGGCACCCAAGACTTTACTTCCCCGGAAGCTGGATATGACTTAGCAGCAAAGTCCTTTAGCAAAGCAATTCCCAGACACAAGCTAGGTGCATTAACACCCACGGTGTCAGGTCAAACCCGGGGGTCAGACTCAAATCACCCCTAGAAGAGCTGGTGTTCTTAACACACCAAGACTGCCGTGTCCCTCGATGCCTTCGCATCAGCTGCTCTGGGGGTGAAGAAAGGGGGAGGTGAAGGGCAGTATCTCTAAATAGAGAAGTGTACTTTCATTCCACTTAGACCATGTTCTTTTATGTGTGCAGAATCAAGGGATAGGAAAAACACTTTCAAGAACCGAAGTCTTACTCTTTAACCAGAGCTTTATAAGCTAACTGAACCAGCCACAGAACAGGAAAACAATCATTTCAAGGTGCCTCCCTTGAAGACAGGAACCCTGAAGAGACTGAGAAATGTTTCATTAGGCTTCACCTACTAGTAACAAAGAATAGATTTCAAAATGCCTTTTCCTTTTAAAATTAGGATCTTGGGGGTTTGGGGAGAGGGTAGAAAGGGGGCACATGGTAATGGAAAAAATACAATAATTTAATTAATTGGTTAAAATTAAATCAGGATCTAAAATATTACTAGTTACCAGATATTTTTACTTTATGTATAATATCTTAAACTCCAAAACAACCCAGCAAAGTACATGGTACAACCCATTTTACAGAAGAGGAAACTGAGGCTCAGAGAAAGCAAGTAACTTGTTTTAAGTCAACAAACCAAGTTAGTGGTAGCACAGAATTCAAGCTCAGGTCTGACTTGAAAGACAGACCTGTGAGTTTTCCACTCTACCACACCACTTTCCAAAAGAAGGAGGAGGAGGGGGAGGGGGAGAAGAAAAGAAAAGGAAGAAGGAAGAAGGAAGAAGGAAGAAGAAGAAGAAAACTAAGATAGAGGACCTTCTCATTTTGAAGACCAGAAGGCAGAATTTAAAGGGTGGGCCCCAGCAAAAGCTAACATGTCCCACTATCCCAAATCAAACTGCTCTGCACCATTAAAGCCCAACAACTTAAGAAAATCTTCCATAGAGGCTGCCTAAGTGAAGCCTGTAGAAACTTTATTTGCTAAGTCATTATTTGTCAAAGAAAAACATGGCGTATCTGCAGAAGCACCTTGTTTCCCTTCCCTGAGCTGTGTATTCAGAGCAAGGAAAGGCAGCTAATGTGAGCAATACAATGACTCGACCAAACACCACCATAATGTTGCCAAAAGGCAAACCTCATGTTAATGCAACTCAGATCAAAAACAGCAGGTGGCAGTGTTGAGGAAAGAGGCTAACACCACCCCCCAGCCCACAAACTTTCCACCTGTGGTGAAGGCCAAGGCCATGGGGCAGTGAGGCTGGCTGGGCTACTCATCACAGCCATTTGCCAGAACCAGTCCCAGCCTCATAGGGAAGGAGCCAACGCAAGTGTCCTGCTCGGTCCTGCAGCTTCATGTCCAGTTTCAGAGCCCTTCCAATGGCCAAGAGTGACCAGGCAGAGGGAGAAACTACTGGCTGGGGAGAAGGGATTGAGGCGTTAAAGTCCCAGGCAGAAATGCACAAACTCGGAGAAATGAGGGGGAGGGTGCACAAGCAATGGCTTTGAGGTCACCATGCCCCGCCTTCTCCTGCACCTCCATCAACCACAAGCTCCTGAAAACTCGATCCCATTTCAATAGAAACAAAGAAAGCAGATTAATTTTTTTTTAAAGCCAGGAATTAAAACTTAATCACTTTTTTCTGGGCTTCTTAAAAAGTAAGCTAATTTGTTTAACATCTTTTCATTTCATTTTTCTTTTTTGAATTTAAATGATTTTAGAAATCACAATAGCAAGTTATGCACACAATATGGTCCTATATTTTTCCCCCCATTTCTGCCACGTCTAAGCTTTTCAGACATTCCAGGAAAAGCACCCAACCTTCCCAGAATTAGTATGGATTTTAAAACCCAAACCCAAACCCATTGCAGCTGCATTTTCCCACTCCCGAAGCAGACAAGCCGAGGCAGAGGGGCTGAAGCGGACAACAGTCAGGGTGATGAGAGGAGCCCAGGCGGGCAAGAGTGGAAGCCAGAGAGGACCAGAGAGAGTGTGCAGCTTGGAGAAATGATGCAGAGAAACCCTGACAACAAAGTACACACCTTGGCATTGATATAAGGGTCAAAGGGGCCGTACTTTTTGAGTTCTTTGATCTCAAGAGCATTCTACAAAAAGGAGAGGAAAAGAAAATGTGATGACAGAATGGATGAAACACATCAGAGCAACCGCACAGCCCCAGGGAGACCTGACACTGCACCAACTCGGACCTGCCCCCTGGGCCCCTCAAAAGGCAGTTAATGGGGAAGTTAATGGGGGCCTCCAGGGCTCAGCACTCATCGCCCCATCTTATCCAAGCACCCAACTGAAACCACACTAATAGTCCTTAAATAAATCAGTGTAGTGCTTGGAACTACTACCTAGATCCATTAGGTTCTTCAAGTCATTGCAGCCATCTTGTCCCAGCCCCTGACCCACCGACCTGCCTGCCAGGTACTCAAAGCACTAGGCTGGTGTCTTGCCAATCACCCTATCGACGACAGCTACTCCGGGCGGGAGGCGGTGTGAGCAGGACAAGCTAGAACACTCAAGTGGCTCAAAAATCCAAGCAGCTGGTGTTCCAAGGCAAAAGTGAGCAAGAGGATTAGAAGTGGTTACTGAACATTTCCTAAATGAAAAGAACTTTAATGGGTGGTTAGTTTTATTTCAACATTGAGTAATATTACTTAAAAGCAAACTTCCTTATAAATTTCCTCCAGATAAGAGAAATTACAATCACTTTAGCCAGGAGGAGTAAATTGCATTTAGATTCTAAAGAGACCATTTTCATTCCTAATGAAAACAAACATCCTCATTGATGATCTTAAATGTCTGTTGCTCACCTATCCAAAAATTACCGCCCAACACGGGGAAGGGGAGCTGATCCACAGCGACACACACACAATCTCAAACTGGGACACTTGGGAGAACTGCTGTCATTTCCTCAAACCCCAGGGTGAAGCTGCCTGCCTCGGAACCAGAGTCAGGCTCTTAAACAGCTCACCGAGAAGGTGCGAGGTCTTGCTGACAGATGGACTCTACCAGAGTGATCTATTTTTTGAGGAAAAATGCTGATTTAATTTCTAATTATGCAGGTAATTTAACAATTTCCTCTCAGCAAAGTCATCAGGAAAATAGTCCTAAACTTAAGTGAAAAAGACAGGAGAATGGCTTGTCATATAAGAGAACACCCATCTCCTCAGATCCAAACTGCAGGGGTATTTTATGGGAGGCCTGTCCAGAACATGCACAGTTCAGGTGTAACTTTTCCAAAGTAATAAATGTAAAGAGGAGTACCGCCTAAGTCTTTGGCTACTGGGAGGTATTTTTACTCAAATGCTGCCTTATTTTCTAAGAATTATCTCTGCTTTGTCCAAGCATGGGCACTCTTAAGTTAACATTAGAATGAATGATCTTCATTCTGTTGACTCCCAACTTCTGCTCCCGTTTCGGGGAGCTCACTCTCAGCACTGGCTGGGGTCCCTCCGCCTCTGCGAGTGGGGGTGCGTGCGAGACAACAGCATTGTTCACACAGTACAGACATGAACGCGAGGATTTCTGTTTACCAGCTGAAATTGCAATGCTGTGTCAATGGCACAAGTGCAATTTGCAATTAATTAAGCCCACCAGCTTGAAATTTTGCAGAATTTGCATTTTTTCAAATTTTGCATGAGGTTAGCATTATATTTTTATTATAGTGTTATTCCACATCTGCATGACTCAAATGCATATAAAATGTATCCTCATGGAATAAGATCTGCCTGATGCACTGAGAGGTGCTGGGAGGAAGGGAACCACTCTCAGGCATGGGAGAGCCCGTTCCCTGAGACCTGCGCTATGGGACCGAGACAGCAATGGGGTTGCTGAGGCCTTGGCTGTAGCTGAATGGAAGAAAGCTTCCCTTCCTCCCAACCTGTTCATTGACTTTGGTGTGTGAGGGCCCTTGATGGATGAGCAGCCGCACTATCTGGGCATCTCCTTTCCAGGCTGCCAAGTGCAGAGGGTAACAGCCTTTAGAATCAGCCACATTGGTCAGCGCGTCATTCCTCAGAAGAACTTCGACCACATCCCTAGAAAGCAAAAACCAATTATGAGTTTGCAGAACTCAGGAGTCCTTCCCACTAACAGCTCTTTAGACACGTGTATACCAGCACAGAGCACTTTCACAGCTACCATCTCACTCGGCTCCCCTGTGTCTACCTGAGCTCGTCACCCAGCCTCTCCCTGTCATTCCATGAGCAACGAGTGCAGCCGCCGACGTGCGGCTCAGCCATGTGCGTCACACTACAGTGACTCTTTGCCTCCCTGTCTATCTAGTCTTTCTGGACAGTCTGTCCATTTTCTGTTATTTTGAAAAAATGTCTGGTCCTCTGTCCAAGCCTTGCAATGTTTCCTTGTTTGTGATGTTTAAACAGCATTCAGGGATAGAATTTACATAAAAAGTCATGCAAGACAAACATCATTATTCTCCACATTATTCAGAGAGTTTAGTGATGTGGGAGCTGAAAGTGGGCAGGCAGAGCAGAATTAAAGCTGTTGCAGACATAAGCCAGACACATGTGGTATCATTTGCTACATCCGGGAAGGACTCGGCTTTCTTCTTGGTAACACCACTAATTAAGCAGATACAAATGTATAATTATCCCCATGCACAGGAGGTCAAGGAAAATCCCCACTGTAAGTAAAAACAGCATCTGGAGATCAACTTGGCTAACAAGTTAGTTAGCCAAGAACTCTTTTAAGTTCAAGAGTCACTTTAAATTCAGGTTACCCCACTGTTTAAGGGGGGGCAGGGATCTCTACATATGCACATTTCTTGTTATCTTTGTCTAAAATGACTAGAGAAAGGACATGATGATCACAATCAATATATTTTAGAAAAATTTAATGTTGAAGGTAACAATCATTTTTTCGGCACATGAGGCTGGGCCAAATATTGCACAAGTGATACAAAACACCACACGGTGGTGAGGTCCCTGCTCCTCACTCAGAAAAGTCTAAAATGGTTCCAATCATCCTTCCTCCATCAACTAAACTTCTGCTGCTAATCTTATATGATACCATGCCTCAATCTCTATTCCGTTACATTCTGGTTTCCACTATCCCATATCCTGGCACGTCTACTCACTGTACCCGCAACCATGCCTGCCCCCTGGTGGAGCCCTCCCACTGCCCCTTACCTGATTGGCAGGGCTCTCATTTAGCTGCCAATCATTTAAACTGGTGCCTTTTCCTCCTAAACCCCCAAGCACACCTCCAGAAAATTCCCACACAAATCCCACCCAATGCTCAATAAGCTCTCTATACTTAAGAGAATTAAATAGGCCTTATTATGCATGTATTTCTTTCCTTAAAGATGGTTCTTGTTGTCCATTAGATTAGTTTTATAAGGAACAAATGGCAAGCTAAAAGACAGTAAAAAAAAAAAAATAACTACTTTAACAGAAGGAAAGTTTCCCAGGACCAGCCAATTTATTTTCAGTTTATAAAGGGGCTGGTTACCTGGCAGATTATCCAGCCCCTTTATGGCCTGGCAGCCCCAACCATGGTCGCCATATTCAGATGACTGTGTGGCACTGCACCATTTCGGGGGGAGAAGAAAAGGTCAAACTTAACCTGCAGTCCAAATTTATGAGGAGTTCAAGTTTTTGAGGGGCGAAGTAGGGAAGGATGTTGAAGTTGTTATACACTAAAGAGAGATTTGGGAATTCTAGTTGGGCTAAATTTAGTTTGTTTTTCTCAGCGTGACTGCTTAGCAATCCTTTGCAGGAACCGAGAAGACCGCTGGAAGACCTCCACTCTGACGGTGGGGCAGGAACGCCAGTACTTACTTGTGGCCGTTCAGAGCGGCGTGGTGCAGAGGGGTGTACCCGGTGCTGTCGACACAGTTCACGTTGGGCCCTCTCCAGATGCTGCAGAGAAGGGAAAAGAGCAGAGTCAAAAACCAAATTTAGAGACCCCTAGCTGCTTGGAAAAGAACCCTGTGTGGTGTTCAACCAAACCGGTTACTTCCGCATAACTTCTGGCAAAGGACAGCATCAATTTATCACAGAAACGCACAGCACCAAGAGTGCACAATGGCTTGCTAAGCAAGGAGTCAAGTGTCAAAACACCAGAGTCATCATTTAAGGGTTTGTTCCACACCCTCCTCATCTGCAGTTTCATAGATCGCTCAGTCTGGGACCAGTGTCGCTGAACACTCGCAGGGCTGCAAGAATAGCTCACTGACAGGTCATCAGAAATGTCGCTGAACCGAGCCGCTCGGCCAGTCACGGGTGTTGAGCACTCACCTCACTCTGGCGAGAGGGCTGGAGAGAGACCTCCACAGACCAGAGAGATAACCAGGACCATTCCACCACAAGGACCCAGATCAAGGAACCCACATTCATAAAGCGTGAGGGGATGTATGTTGAGATGCAGGAGACAGTGCTATCTTTTCTTCATGAATATGTCTTATTGGTAATAAAAAAATAACAACAGGATCTACAATTTCAGTGCCTTATTGGATCAAAAATACTATACTAGGAAAGCTGAAATGTCATCTTATTTAATCCTCAAAGCCTTAATTCTGATTTCTGCTCACACCTTACTGCACTGGCCAGAGCTTATAAAATACAGTAAGTAGTAGAGGCCAGCCTTGTTTTGGCCTCGCTTGTAGTGAGAATTCCTCTCATGTGTTGGTGGCTGGTTTGAGATAGGCACTCTGTAACATGTAAAAGAAATATCATATTTTTTCCTATTTAAAATTTTAATAAAAATAGTCATTTAATTTAAATGTTTAATTTTTCTGTATCTATGGAGATAATCAATTTTTCACATTTAACAAACTAATAATGTTGTTATCAATAGGTTTCTTAATATTGAAAACTCTTTCATTCCTGGAATAAAACAAAACCTTATTTGGCCGTTCTCCATTACGGCCCTCTCAGTGAATTCTACTTGAGAGTATTTTATTTACAATTTTCACATCCACATTCATAAGTGAGCCTGGTCTATTGCTATTGGATGGTATTAATGTTAGGTTTCGGTCACAATCTGCTGAGTAGATATCTACCCAGTTCTATATTCAGGAATCGATGACACAGTGCACTAACTTATAAAGAATCACCAGTAAAACCATCTGAGCCCAGAGCCTTTATGTTGAGATTTTGGAAGCAGCATTATTTATAACAACAAAAGTTTAGAGATAGAGAAATAGCCCCAAAATCAATCAATAGAGAAATGAATTGATAACTAAGGTATAAACACATAGTAAAATTTCATGTATCAGTTATATTGCTATGTAATAAGACATAATAGAGATTAGAATATGATGTTAAGGAGAAAAAAATTATAAATGCTGTACAAAAAATATATGAGGGAAATTTATCAGGATAGTGGGTTGAGTGCACAACTATACACAACCTCCTATCTAAAGTTCTATGAAGTGACAGAAGTAATTTTCACCCTACACCATAGACAGACAGACAGAGTCAGCTGAGAAAATAAGAATAGTTGCCATCAAGTTAACTGACAATACTGAGGAATTCCTAAAAGGCAGACATCAGACAAGGGTGGATCTACAGAGACACAACCCAGAAAAATGCAAACTAAAATAATCACATACCATTTTCCACTCTCTCAAACTGGTAAAAATGAAAATAATGACATTGTAAAGTATTTATAAAGATCAGGAAAACAAGCACTCTTAAACACCCCTAGCAGAGTTTAAATGCGTGAATTCCTGTGGGAAGACAATCTGGCAGCACCCGTTAAAACAAAAATAGGCGGTGGCTTTGAGCCAGCCCTTCCACTTCCAGGCTGTTCTCCAGCGGAAACTCCTGTACTATGTAGAGTCCTGTCTCATACAGGATTGCTTCAGTGTAAGAACGAAAACTAAAATTTTCAAGTCCATCAACAGGCCAGCAGTTAAATATTGGGGACACTCGTAAAGTGAATTATTATATAACCATCAACGACAACAACGAAGGAAAGAAATGAATTGGCCCTGCCTGTCCTCGTGTGGAAAGACTTCCCAAGACACACTTCGCTACGGGCAGGTGCGAGCGAGAGGCCTCCGTGCGACAGAACAGGAGCCCCACTGTGTGCGTGTGGGAGTGTGCTCACACATCCCTGTGGAGGCGCTGGGAAGAGTGACATGCACTCACGTTCTGCTCTGTGTTCTACCACAATTCAAAATATCTACGATAAAAATGCAATCATGTAGTATTTTCATAATAATAGTTTTTTAAAAGAAAGGGAGAAGAACCCATAAAGAGGGAAAAGACAAAAAAATAGATATGCTAATAATAAATGTCTATATATGTGAGACAAGGGCCACTTTAATAAGCTTGTAGGTGTCAGCCCTAAAAGCTTAAGACAAATTTTCAGTGAAAAGAGAGGATATGTGCACTTTGAAACACACATTACCTGTTCATTGTCAAGGATGCTGGTGACAACATCAGGAGCCCGGGGTGCACCCTGGTATCCTCACCTTCCATTAACTTAGATTCCTATAACACCTTCCAAACACAGAGCTAAGAAGCACACTTCTTTACACTTGTGTGATAATCTCACGTTCTAACCCCAAAATTACACACGCATGCCTGACAATGGATAAATGATGCAAGGTGAAGTGGATCTGGAAAATCTGGGAGGAACAGTTTTCAGACTTGCTTCCCAGTTGCCCCCCCCCCCCAGACAAAAGATCATCATTCTATTACAAAATAGGTTAACACTAAAATCTAAAACCAAGTTATTTGCCCCAAGTCACAAGCCAAATCAGCAGCAGACCCAAACCTCTCATTTATGGAGCTCTTGGCATTTCACCAGAAGAGGACCTCAGGATCCACTGGGACGAGAGGCGGTGAGTATGTAGGAATAGAAGGTGTACATAATTCCACTGCAAGACGGCTGGACGAGACCAAGAGAACTTGAGAAGGGGAAATACCATATGAATTAGAACAGTCGGGAGCACAGGGCATTCTGCAACTAGTGCTCCATCAGGAATGTGTTATTTCAACCATCTCAGTTCAGGTCCCAAAGTAAAACTAAGACTTAGACTGCCTTGGCTTTTCACAAAAAGGCAGGACTGAGCAAGCCCTCTGTCACTTTCCAACTTCTGCCTCCACATCTCTGGTTTAGAGATGGTTGGTCTGGACACCCTAAACCCACAGTAAAACTACCTCAAAACAACTAGAAAAGACAAGGAAGAAAGATAAAGACTTTCCTGCAAAAAGCTGGAACATTTCCAAATAGTACAGACTCTCCCAACACCTAGTTTTCTCTTACTAGCATTTCATCTATATACCCATCTAGAAATTCGGGGGAATGGGGAATTATTAAATAAAACCTAAATGAAAATGGAGAACTGTAGTTTCTCTGCTTGGAATTTTAGCTTCAGACAGGATGGCAGTAACATCCCCCTCCACCCAAGTTTCTTCCTCTCTGGCAGCCCAAGAGAAGGGCTATTTACAGTCTAGGCCTCCTCCTGATCACAGCTATCCTATTAGGTGTTTCTCTGGCAAATACCAAAGGGCTGCTCACATACAAACAAAAAGCGAATACAATGTGCCAAGAGAACCAGAAAAAAATAAATGGTCCAGAAGGTTCCTAACAAGGTCTAACCTATACGGATTGTGCAGAGATATAATGGGCTGCCCCTCACGTGCAGAAGAAAGCCTCAGACTAATGTTGACTCAGAGCGGTCGGCCCCAGCAACCCTGCAGGAAGAAACCTTAGGACCTGGGTTAAGAGCTGAGGCTCTGCGATTAGCTGACCCAACTTCAAAGCTTGCCCCGCCACTTGTCAGTTTTGTGACCTTGGACAAGTTATCAATCCTTCAAACCACTGTCTCTGCTTCTGCAAATTCTACTGCGATAAGCTCCCTAGGACATAACTGGCTTGAGCCAGCCTGACGGCACGAGGGCTGAGAGACCTAAGACGTGCCGCTGCACCCCAGCTCGTGGACGAGGTGAGGAGGCATGCAAGTCTCGCCTTCTGTGCCTCGGTAGCACCTATTTTTTAAAACTATACTTCAATGGTGCTACATTTTTGTAAAGGTTTTACTTATCTATTTTTAGAGAGATGGGAAGGGAAGGAGAAAGAGAGGGAGAGAAACATTGATGTGAGAGAGAAACATCAATCTTATACATGCCCTAACTGGGGACTGAAACAGCAACCCAGGCAAGGCCCTGACCGGAATCAAACCAGCGACATTTCGCTTTGTGGGATGACCCCCAACCAGCTGAGCCACACGGGGGAGGGTGGAAGCACCTATGTTTTGAGACAGCATCTACAGACACAGGAGGGCAAGAAAGAATATGACTGGTGAGAAACTACATCTTTTAAATCCACCTCTCAAACACCTCTCTCCATTCATTTAAAAACTGACTATACAGGGATAGTCAGTTTTCAGCAGGCAGCATGCTGGATCTGGAGGTGCTGACGAAGAAGAACCGGCCACGGAGACACAGCCCACTGAATACAGGGAGACGGGCAAATGAGGTCCTGGGGCACACTGCACGGGCACGTATTCGTCGGACACGTGAAGGGCGCCCTCTATGCGTCAGGCCCTGTCCTGGGGGCTGGAGAGCAGGTGGGAAAAGACCGTCTGTCCTCACGGAGCCAGCCTGGATTCTAAGGCAGAGGGGGAGAGTGACGAAATAAACAAATAAATAGATAAGATGAAGCCAGGTAGTGGTAAGTGCCATAATGAAACAAAAGAAGCAGTAAAGCACAGTAAGGGGTGACATTTTAAACAAGGTACCTCTTTAAGAAGGTGACCTTTGAGAAGAGAGCCAGGAGAGTAGGGGTGTCTGAAGGAAACTGGCAGAGACAGCATCAAATGCAAAAGCCCAGAGAACGAACGTGCCTGATTGAACGTGCCTGACTCGGGCTGGAGAGCAAGGGGGAGCTCTGTCCGCACGGACCA